GTGATATGCTTGGATATAAAAATCAAAGTAAAATACAAATATGAAATATTTCAAATATAAATACAAAATACAAAAATTATCATAGAAATAAATAGAAAAGACCTATAAGGATTTTTGATCTCTAGGGCAAACTGAATGATGTAGCAATGGAATAAAGGGAGAAATGGTCTCATGAAGAGATACAGTTAGAGGGTGACATACAGACGCTGGAAAGATACTGTATGATTCCTACCCAAACAAGGAAGAAGAGCTCTTTTTTGATTAGATTTTACTTTAAAATTTAAGTTCTAAAAATAAGAGATATAATTTCTCTGAAAATCAGAAGTGGAGGAGTTATTGGTTTAAAAGAAACAAAACTGCATAGTAAAGAAGCCAAGCTGCACAGAGGAGGGAAAAAACACCTTTTGGAAAAGTAGAAAGATAATACGTGAGAAGGTTAAGAATCAACTGAAGGAGCTGGAGAGATGGCTTAGCAGTTAAGAGCAGTGACTGCTCTTGCAGAGGATCCAGGTTTGATTTCCAGTTCCCACATGGTGGTTAATAACCATCTGTAGCTCCAGTTCCAGGGGATCTGATGCCCTCTTCTGACCTCCGAGAGCATTGCATGACACAGGTGCACTTACACTCATATGCATAAAACAAAAATAGTAATTAAAAAAAAGAATCAACTGAAAAGGGAAGATCTGAAAAGTTTACTAGGGAAAAGGGTAATCCCACTCTGTGCCTGCTCTCCTGGCTAGGGGGTCTTGAAGCTGCTGTAGTGAGAAGAGCTAGCTTGAACCACTGTCCCCCATTCTCCCTTACATTCAGTCATTGGGGCCCCTTGCTGGCTCATCTAGAATCGACCACCGCCATCATCTTTGTATCCTGACAGCCAGTCCATCTTCATAGGCTTTACACCCTGTTCTCAGGCCTTCAACTAGCCTATCCACTGTTTTTATGTCCTGTCTTTGGAAGCCTGTTGGGTCAGTCCCTCCTGGAGCTAATCTCCTGCCCAACACTTTCACCAGTTCTGAGTTTCTGCAGCTACCACTGCCCACTGTAAGAAGAAGCTTCTCTGAACAAGCTAACAGCAGCACCAAGCTCAATATTTTCCCAGTTTCATGCATTTTTCTGCAGATTTCACTATTTTATTTTTCTTTATGTCTGAATAAAATTCCATTGTGAAAAAAAAAAACTTAGGAAAGTTTATAGCAAACTAGTTTGAAAGGATTTTGATACTTCGCAGTGTTGGTCTTTGTTTTTTTGAGACAGATATTTTGTTGTATTCTAAGTGATTGTAACCCCCTTAATATGTGGTGATATCTTCAGGAAGTTGTTAATTTATGAGGACAGAGCCTTCATGAATGGGACTCGTGTCCTTATAAAAGAGCCTTGTCACTTTCAAGTGGGGACAGGGCAGAAGGTAGCACCTATGAACCAAAAAGTACGTCCTACTTGGACACTAAATTGGCCAGCATCTTCGACTTGGATGTCCCAGCCTCCAAAACTACATGAAAAATATAATTTCTGTTGTTTATGAGCTACCAAGATCATGGTATTTGGTAAAGGCAGCCTGAATAGCTTGAATAGTATGTTACATATCTGTTCCCCAACTAGCATCATGAAATGAGATAGCAAAATTACATGCACATATACTCTTTGCTCCAGCAACCTTAGTTCTAGAGTCCTATCTCAAAGATAAATAAGCAAAACTCTTGAACGAAGGCTGTGCAGGCTGCTTACAACAGCACTATCGGTAAATGCAGAAGACTGGAGTAGCCCAGATGTATGCCAGCAGCTAATGCACCATGGTACATTCATACACAGGCAGGGGGAAAACAAAACAAGGAAGAACCATGACATGCTCTCCAGACTAGAAAGTGACAACACAAAATGGTAGAAGAGTATGTTTAGTATGTTGTCCTCTACCCAAAAAAGGAAGTATATTTATATGTGAATATGCTCATATTTTCTAAAAATAAGAAACACTAAATAGCACTCACTGACATGAGAATAACTTTGGCATACACATAGGACAGTGTGCTGGATGCTTTAGTGTCAACTTGACACACCTGGGTTGAAGGGAGTCTCAATCGGGGAGCTGTCTCTATTGGACTGGCCTGTGGCCATGTCTGAGGGGCATCTTCTAGATGAGTGATGTGGGAGGGCCCAGCCCACTGTGGGTGGTACCACCCCTGGGCAGGTGGGCCTGTGTTGCTAAAAAAGCAGGCTGAGCAGGGGCCAGGGGAGCAAGCCAGTAAGCAGCGTTCCTCCATGGCCTGTGCTCCAGTTCGTTTCCAGGTTCCTGCCCTGAGTTCCTGCCTTCGGCTCCCTGATGTACTGTGACCTGGGAGATGTAAGCTGAATAAACCCTTTCCTCCCCAAGTTGGTACTGGTCAGAGTATTTTGTCACAGCAGTAAAGAACAAACTAGAACAGTTAATGTTTTAGGAAACAAAAATTTTCTTTTATGAGAAAAGAATTGTGAATTTAAAAAATAAAAAATAAAACTCTTGTCACCTAAAATATGATTTAGGAATTTTAGTATAAACCTGATCTATTTTTATCTATAAAAACCAAAACTTGGGGCTGGAGAGATGGCTCTGTGGTTAAGAGTGGTGGCTGCTCTTGAAGAGGGCCTGAGTTCAGTTCTCAGCACCCACATGGTGGCTAATAACTATAACTCCAGTTCCAGGGGCTCTGACGCCCTCTTCTGTCCTCTGCATGACATGGGTGCACTTACATACATCTAGGTGATATACTCATGCACATAAAATAAAATAATTCAAAATTATTTTTTAAAAAAAGCCATTTTGCTAGAAGTAGTGATCAGATCAGGAGCGAAGAACACAGGTTGCAGCTAACTCTGGTCTCTAAACAAACCCTTCCTGTAGCAACAAGGTCTACCTGGTATAATGGCTGTTTTCAACTAAGGCACAACAGATCAAACTAGAATAAAACACCCTCTAGCCATAATACAAAACCGAAGGCTTTATGGCAATCACTCTTACAGTTTCAAAACTATAGTGAAATCTGTTCTGTGCTGAATTTTAAGACATACTCATTATTCTATTCAAAGCATAGTTGCTCTAAATGAATCTTCTGCGATATCTTCAAAAGATTTCTTTGATATTATATTTCATCACAAGGAAATACACAAAAAAAGGCCCAGAATATCTTGCCACACCAGAAAAAAAAAGGAAACCTCTGAAATCACGTCGAAAGACAGAGCAGTTGGCCAAGGATAGTACAATTTAAACTTTGAAGAAAATCATGACCTCAAATGGGTTGAAACACATAAAAAATATTCAAGTTGGGGCTGGAGGGATGGCTAAGTGGTTAAGAGCATGAACAACTCTTGCAGAAGACCCAGGTTTGGTTCCCAGTACCCACATTAGGCAATGCACAACCACCTGTACTTCCAGTTCCAGATTGTTCAACACCCTCTTCTGACCTCTGTAGACCTCTACACACATATGCACAAACCCCCACACATGTACATATAATTAAAAATAAATAAATTGGACTGGAGAGATGGCTCAGTGATTGAAAGCCCTGGTTGCTCTTGCAGAGGACTCAGGCTTGATTCCCAGCACCCATATGATGGCTAACAATCATTCTTAACTCCACTTTCAGAGGCTCTGATACCCTCTTCTGACTTCCTTGGGCACTGCATGCCATGATGCACCTTCATACATGCAGGAAACACGCTCATACACAAAATATAAATAGCCTGCTCTACATAGCCCCAGGCCAGCTGGGGCTACAGGGAGACCTGTCTCAAAAGGACCAAAAATAAATAACAAAATAAAAAATAAATAAATATTTTAAATAAACTGCCAGCCATGGTGGTACACACTTTTAATTCCAACACTCAAGAGGCAGAGGCAAGCAGATTTCTGTAAATTTGAGGACAGCCTGGTTTACATAAGAGGTCCAGGCAAGTCAGAGCTACATAGTAAGACCCTGTCTCAAAACCAAATAAGGAGCTAGAGAGATGGTGTATTAGTCACTTTTCTGTTGCTGTGATAGAAACACTGACCCAAGCAATTTATAGAAAGAAGAATTTATTTGAGTTTACAGCTCCAGGGGAATTACAGTCTGCCATGGAAGGGAGGCATGGTGACTGGAAGTGGCTGGAGCAGGAGCAGCAGAAGCTAAGCTCTCACATCACCATGCAAGCACAGGAAGCAAGAGAGCGACTGGAGATCTGGCAAGCCTTAAAAAACTCTCTAAGCCCACTCACAGTGACGTGTTTCCTCCAGGATAGCCACGACTTCTAAAACCTCCCAAAACTGTGCCATCATCTGGAGACAAAATGTCCAACCACTTGAAGCCTATGGGGGACATTTTCATTCAAACCACCACAGATGGCTTAGTGGTTAAGAGAATTGGCTGCTCTTGCAGAGGACCTGGGTTCAGTTCCCAGCACCCACATGGAAGCTAATAACCCTCTGTAACTCCAGTTTCAGGGATCCAACATCCTCTTCTGCTGTCTATGGGCACTGTACAACACCAGTACACTTTCATACATGCAGATAAAACAGTCATACACATAAAATTTTTAAAAATAGATCTTTTTTCTATGTACTTGGTATTCAAATAATTTACTCAAACATTTTTTTAATGTAGAAGCTTAGTGGATACTTAAAAAGGAAATTGAGAGGTACATGCTTTACAAATTCAGTTATTAAAGGATTTAATTATAAAAAATAGATCTTTTAAAGTTAAAAATAATAATTAAAAATGTTAACATCACTGGGTGTGGTGGCACACGCCTTTAATCCCAGCACTTGGGAGGCAGAAGCAGGCGGATCTTTGGGAGTTCAAGGTCAGCCTGGTCTACATAGTGAGTT